CCCCGGCACGCCCGCCCTTCCGCCTCGGGTCCCCGTCAAGCGACCCCCAAAGGGAGACGTGCCCCAGCGCCCACCTCAAATCAACTCGCGCTCTCTAGACGCCGTCCTCCGCACAGAGCGAAGCCCCGGCCACTCGCGGCCATGAAGAAGCCTCGATCCGAGAAGCCTTGCCCTCAAAGCGAGCCACCACTCACCTACCGGACACGGTCTGCGGCGGCTGAGACCCGGACAGGCCCGCAGTCGGCGACGGAGCTGGCGGCCTCCCGACTACAGACCCCGACCTCAGCTCCTCTACGGCTCGCCACAACTGACGCACTTAGCGGCTCGGGCGTTGCACAAAATGGAAGGAACGCGCCCGCGTCACTTCCGGGGGGCGGCGCCAGACGCTCGGGGCGGCCGCCCCCGGTTGGAGCCAAGGGACGGAAGTGCCCGCCCCAGCCGGAAGTCCGGGTGGGGCGGGGGTTTCCCTTTCGAGGACCACCCCCCACCCCACCCCCGGACCCCCGAGAGGACTCCGGCGGGTGGGAGGGCGGCGATGGTTGGCGACGTTCGCTCCGTCACTCGTCTTTGGATACGAAAAGATGTATCCGATGCTTTTCCCGGCTACCTCGAAGGTTACCAGGTTAAAAGAAACCCAGGCTTTACCAAAACACCCGTTTTTTTTGTTTTTTAATTGTATACACTTCTGAAAAATTCATTTACGCCGGGCGGCGGCAGCGCACGCCTTTCATCCCAGGCACTCGGGAGGCAGAGGCAGGTGGATCTCTGTGAGTTCGAGGCCAGCCCGGGCTACAGAGCGAGATCCAGGACAGGCTCCAAAAGCTACATAGGGAAAACAAAACAAAATTCATTTCCACACTGTCTCATTAAGCAGCCCTGGCTAACCGTGAACTCAACTGAGGTCCACCGGCCCCCGCCTTCAGTGTGCTAGAATTAAGAGTTCTGACCTACCAGGCCTGCAAATTGTTCTTAGCAAAGTGCTTCAAGGCAAGAGTGTTCCTTGAGGCTCAAGTGAATTCCTCTTTGAGTGCTGGGGCTTTGGTTTGGCTAAGTCTAAGGAGCAGAATCGTTTTCTGTTGGAGGGATTTTAATGATGAAATAGTGAAATTGAGAATGTGAGTAGAAACGCCCCTACAGTGAAGTCATAGTGCCCCTCTTAGACTCAGCTTGCTGGAAAAAATTTCAAGTTGTTTTTCAACCCAAATGACCGCTGTCCAGTCCTTTTTGTTCAGGTTTCTGTGAGATAACACGGAAACCGTCAACAGTTGTTCAGAAACGGAGAATGTGCTTCCAGAGTGAAGCCGTCCACATCCTAACTCCATCCTGCCTTCCCCAACCCAGTGAGGTCGGGAGGTCTAGAAACTTGGGCAATAAAAGACAATTTGTAGTGAAAGGGCTACTTTTCTTTAGTGTTTTTATCTGTAACCCAATGCATCACCTCGATTTTAAGATGTACCTAGAACAGAGTCACAGATTGTCAGGGTTACAAGGAGATGATTAGTAACTGGGGAAGCAGAAGAGCAACCCCAGCTCAGACCTCAGGAGCACTTGGGACCTTGATTCATTCCCATGGGATAAGCTTGTCTATTCAGTTAGCGATGCAAATAAAAACAGCATCAGTGGGTCCATGAAAAACTTATAGTTAAATATGGTGTGAAGAGCTAAAGATGGATTTAAAACAAGGCATATATTTGTTCAAAATTTAAAAGCTTACTAGAGAGGGCTTAGTAGTGAAGAGGGATGCTGTGCGATTAATCAGGAGAGGAGTTCAAATGCCATCACCTCCTTGTCATTCCAACATGGCAGCCCACCTGTAACCTCAGCATGCGTCCATGAAGCAAGCCAGCTAGCTGGACTAGCAGACTCAACAAGTTCTGAGATAAAGTGAAAGACCTTGCCCATGTAAGATAGATTGTGATTGAGAAAGATAAATGAGCTTAACCTCTGCCCCCCACACAAGCAAAAAGGCATACACATGCATGTACAACACACACTAAAGAACACTACGTATCATTCCAGAAATGCCTGGGAGAAGGGACAACTATTTATAACCTGCATTTGTTGTTGTTGTTGTTGTTTATTTGTTTTTGTTTTTTTATTCCCCAAACAGGGTTTCTCTGTGTAGTTTTGGAGTCTGTCCTGGAACTAACTCTGTAGACCAGGCTGGCCTCAAACTCACAGAGATCCACCTGCCTCTACCTCTGAATGCTGGAATTAAAGATGTGTGCCACTGCTGGATGTTGGTGGCGCTAGCCTTTAATCCCAGCACTCGGGAGGCAGAGGCAGGAAGATCTCTGTGAGTTCGAGGCCAGCCTGGTCTACAGAGTAAGTTTCAGGAAAGGTGCCAAAGCTACACAGAGAAACCCTGTCTGGGGGCGGGGGGGAGTGTGCCACCACCACCCGGTATAGACCTATGTTTGTATAAACATTTTTCTCCCCCAAGTCATACTATAGGTGCCTGGGCATCTTTTCCAAAGACATCCAAGCAAATAACATATCTTTACTAGAGAAAAAAAGATGCAGAGATCACAAGTTAAGAGGAAGTTTATAATCCACACATCACAGATCTGCTAGCCGCCTCCCTCTTCCCAGAAATCGGGTGACACACTCCTTGAAGCTGTAGGGAGTTGATAAGAAAGCTTACTGTAGCTAGGCATGATGAATAAGCATGCTTTCAATCCCAGCGCTTGGGAGATAGGAAGGAGGTTCTTTTGTGACCACATAATGAGTTCCAGCCAACAGCAGCACCAAAGAAGGGGGGGGGGAGAGAAAATGTGTTGATATGTGAAAATCACATTATTTCCTGGTGGTGCAAAGGCTCAAATTCAGGGCCTCATACATGCTAAACAACGGTTCTACCCTTAAATTACAACCCCAGTCCCTGGACATGGAGGGGCACATCTTTGATCCCAGCATAAGGGAGGCAGAGGCAGGCAGATCTCTTGAGTCCAAGACCAGCATAATCTATAAAGTCTCAGGACATCTAGGGCTACACAGACAAACTCTATCTGAGGGAATAACAAAAAACAATTGTTTTTTGTGCTGGGGTGTAGTTCAGTAGTAGAGCACTTGCCTAGCTTGTAAGAGGCCCTGGGATTCAGTCCTCCACACAGGAAAACAAAAAGATAAGAAACCCTGTCCCCCCAAACAAAACAATGTATTATTGCATTTGTACTGGAAAAAACATTAAGCACCCAGGAAAATACAGCAAAATATAACCAGATGTTAGTTTGGTGAGGATAGATTGGGACAAGATAAGATTAGGAGTGTTTTCTTTTTTCAATAATTTTCCCTCCTGAATATTTTTCTTTTTATAATTGAAGTAAATATCTTTGAAAAGTAAAGATGGAATCAACTCTGAAAAGACAAGTTGGGGTAGAACATTCATGGAGCAGCTTAAAGAGTCTAGTGTCTAGGGCTTTGTCAAATAATTTTCTAAAGAGGGCCAAAGAGTAAATAGTTTCAGCTTTGTGGGCCACATGATCTCTGCTGCAATTACTCAGGCCTGCCATTTACAGTAGCTCTAAACAGTAAATAAATGAACAGAAGCCCCTGTGTTAGAAACAAATTTAACTTGTGGATACTGACTTCTAAATTTCATCAATTTTTGAGGACTGGGTGGGTGTTTTTTTTTTTTTTTTGGTTTGTTTGTTTGTTTGTTTGTTTTTTGAGACAGGGTTTCGGTGTAGCCCTAGCTGTCCCGAATTCTCTCTGTAGACCAGACTGGCCTCGATCTCAGAGATCTGCCTGTCTCTGCCTCCTGAGTGCTGGGATTAAAGGCGTGCGCCACCACTGCCCTATGATGCAATACACTGTTAATACATCTAAAAAGAAAAAAAAATAGATGTAATATTTTTAAATCTCTACTCCTAACTTTCAAAGGAGTAACATTACTAAGCATTTAATTTTTTTACAGTTATGTTTTCAAGATATGTGCCATCCTGCATATAATTTTGGTATCACAATGTTTTTGTAGAATTGTGTACATTTCCATTACTTCTGTTTCAATATATTCATGGTCATGTGCAGGCGAGTGTCTGCTGCTTTTCCACTTAACCTCACACTATTACATTCCTGAGGGAACTACTCATTCTGACCAGATAGTCTGCTTAATTTCTGTTTTGTTTTGTTTTTGACAGTTTCCTACATATCACCAGATTCTTAAAAGTCCCAGAAGTAGGGGGGAAAAAAAAGGCAAGATGGGTGTGGTGTCACATGCCTTTAATCCCAGCACTCTGGAGGTAGGCAGGTCTCTCTGAGTTTGAGGACAGCCTAGTCTACATAGAAAGTTCCAGGCCAGTCAAGGCTACATAGTGAGAACCTGTGTCAAAACAAAACAACAGAAGGTTTCCTTTCTTCCAGTTTTTGATACAAATTTTATTTCATTATTTTTAACTGTGTGTGTGTGTGTGTGTGTGTGTGTGTGTGTGTGTGTGTGTGTGTGTGTGTCACTGGATCCCCTGGAGCTGGAGTTACAGGCAGTTGTGAGCCACCATTGTGGATGCAGGGAATCAAACTTGGGCCCTCTGGAAGAACATGTTTCTAGCCACTGAGCCATCTCTGCAGCCCAAATGACGTCTCAAAAGAATAACAATCCTGAAAAAAATGCCTTTGGGATTTTAAAACGTTCAGGGGTTTGCCTGGAATCCCCACACCTCAAGAGACTGAAACAAGACAATTGCCAAGCATTAGAGTTCATACTGGGTTAATAAAATGAATGAGACCCTGTGTCCAAAATGAAAATGGCTGGACATGGTAGCGCACCCCTCTAGTCCCAGCACTTCTGAGACAGAGGTGTCAAGTATTCATGAGTTCGAGGCCAGTCTGCTCTACAGAGTGAGTTCAGGGTCAGCCAGAACTACATAGTGAGAGCATCTGAAAAAAAAAAAGAAAGAAAGAAAAGAAAAGGAAGGAGAGAGAGAGAGAGGGAGGGAGGGGAGGAGGGAAGGAGGGAAGGAGGGAAGGAAGAGAAAAATGTTCTGTTTTTGACTCAGATTCACCCCTACAGGCCTATCTTTCTCTTGTTAAATGCTGATTTTTTTTTTTAATTAAAAATACCTACATAGTATTTAAAACACCCAAGGCACCAGAGTCATACGATACAGACGTTTCAACTGTAGACCACAGTATTTGAGAGTGGCCCTCTCTGGTTATGATCAAGCTGTTTTCTCTGGGTTGGACATCGCCATCTAGGATAAGAGCAGCTCTTGATC